TTTAATCATTACCTTCTCTATCCAAAAAAAAACAAACAAAGTTTTGGCTTTATATACACTTTAACAAATTGGGGAAAGTGTCTGATTGACCTCAAGCAAATTACAGACGTTTCCAAATCTAGTCTGGTAACTATTGATTGTTCCCAGCAATGCTGGCATTCAAGGTGGCTGGCTACTCTCTCTCCTCCTCTAGCGGCATTAAAATAAATGAGCATGTTTCTGTGAATATGTGTGTGCAAAGAACTAGCATAGTATAGCTGGGGCTACATGACTGCATATCTGACCATTCTATGTGGTAGATAATGATTTTTAGAATATAAGCTAATGTGGACATACGTAGCTCTTTTCTCCTTTTGTTCCATATTTGTACACCCCTTTAATATTGCATGGTAAGGTACAGGTTGTGAATCTATATTTCCTAAAAGAACAGTAAAGAGAACATTCCTGCAACTCCCATCTATATGTTAGGGGAGGCTATGTGAAAATGACAACACTCTAGGATGCCACTGTGTTTAAAGTCCTCTGGAGGACAAGATGTAAAGCTCCTCCACAAGCAGTAGCGGAAAAGAGATCAACGCACATTCACTAGCAAAGAACTGGTTTGCTTTTCTGGTAGAACCCATCAGAAGGAAGAGTAAGCGACCAAAGAAAGGGAAAATAATAAAACAAGGAAAAACACCATAGAAAGAAAAGAGAGGTAAAGGACACAGGACAAAGGGGAAGCAGGGGTGTTCATCCCAGTAACACACTTACTGTCCAAGTGACATTGCTCACTCAGCATACTGTATCTATAGCTTTGTCACCCTAAAATAGTAATTGCGCCAGGACTTCCAAATGCCTCTTCCTCTCCTCATCTCCGTAACATAGGGGAAGATGTTCTGTAGACCATAGAAAATAACTGGGCAGGACTTATATTTGAGATCTCAATGCTGAGTTGTTAGCTCACTACAGAAGGTTATCAACTCAAGATTTCTAGCAGGATGAACAGGTATAGTTGGCACTTATCAAACAGATATAACAAAATAAGTTTATAGTTGCCGTTTACATGTTTTTTAAGGACTGGTGTTCATAGAAATCTATTGTTTTCTTCATTGGTAGACTGCTTTCTGTTATTTCATATTTTTGGGATTCTCACTTCCATAGTCCATTTTCGGAAATGAAATGCAGCTTTGAGTGGGATAAATCCAGATACATTTCCCTAATATTGAATACATATCATAATATCTGTTTAACATTAACCTTTGTGTCACAGGTTGTTACGTTGGTGTTAATATCTTTTGTTTATTCCATTTTAGGCTGACCTGAAATGCTGGTTTAAATCAACTGAAAGAAGCAATCAAAAGCACATAAATATGAATTATCTAAATATTTAATACCCACAAAGGCACTGACCACACCAGATGCTTCGCACAGAGAACTGTCTATATTCTAAATTATTTATAGGAATAATGTATATGTATATACTTTTTTTTTTTTTAAGCACTCAACATAAAATTTGTTTTTACAGTTTCCTCACCTCGTTCAGCAATGCACCTTATTTCTTGTTTTCTTACAGGATTTCATTGGAAAATAACTATTAAATTACTATTTATATCTATTTAAAATAATTTTGATTGCATATCACTTTTGTAAAAAATGGAATACAAAATAAGTAGATTTGAATGGAAAACTATGTAATGTTTTTTAATTCATTTCTGCCATCAGATATTTGTTTCCAAATTATGTACATTGTACTAATTGCCAGAACCATTTAGCATATACCATTTGTGAATATTCATACACTAAATTTCTAACTAATTAATAGAAAAACAAAAATCAAATGCAAATCTAAATTGTTTCCTACAAAATGACAAATAATTTTATTGGGAAATATTGACATACATGAAAATAACAACTTTAACCTTTAATGTTTTATAACTTTTACCTCAATTAATTGTATGTTTTCATCTGCACACCAGATAATATTAAGAACTGTCTTGTACTGATCTCATCATTGTCTTCTAACGTCACACGTCCCAATCCTATCTCAGAGCTGAGTAAACTATTCCTGAGACAATTTCCTTTCCCTTTCAATTTTTAGACTCAAAGTTTGCCTGTAAGTCGCCAGCCAATGCAGACATTATAATCCTGGTCGATGGATCCTGGAGTATCGGAAGAGTGAACTTTAGACTTGTAAGAAGCTTCATAGAGAATTTAGTTGGAGCTTTTAACGTTGCCGAAGATAAAACAAGAATAGGTAACGTCCCCTTTTTATGTACATAATGCATTATTGTTCATTTAAATTATGAATTGATGTTTTAGGTTGAAAGAAACCTTAAAGATCAATTGACGTTTCAGTTTCAACCAGCTAAATACATTCTAGGTGCATCCAAACAAAATGTATTGTAAGTCTTACAGTTTGTCTTCTTTAGAAAGCAGCCGCAGCCTGAGTTAAATAGCCTGTCTGCTGCCAGAATGCTGCCAAGAAAGACCTTTGCTTTCTCTGTGAAAGTAGTGGTCTCTTTGCACAGGCCCGACATGCCCCTTCTTGAGTCAGGGTTAGTTCACACCATATGCAGTTGTGATGCAGTCCATTCAGTTTGGCTGCTGCAGCCAAAATACATCACAATGCTTTCCTATGGGCTTTCTTGTGCTGTATTCACACCATTGCAGTCCGTTCAGATGCAGTCAGAAAAAATGCTCGTCCTATTTTAGCTGCATCTGATTGCACCGGAACGCATCAAAAATGCATGCAAACGCATCAAAACGCAACAGAACGCATTAAAAAAGAAAACACAGAATTGATTGTGTCATCATCCAGGGACTTCCTCTTTGTAGGTACAGCCAACACTATCACCATGCCTGCCAACAAAGCAAGCATGTCTGAGCTCCAAAACAAAAAAAGGAAATGCTCTGTCAGGAGAAAGGAAGTTACCTAATTGTCTAATCAAGTAAAAAAAAAAAAAAACGCATCGGAAAGCATCACAAACGCACCACAATGCATTAAAACAGATCACAATGCAACTGCGCAGGCGCATGCAGTTCAGCATTGCTCATGTTCCCTGCTGATTGGAAAGCTCTAGCTCTGACTCACCAGAGGGCTTGTCAGCCCTCTGCAGAGGCTGCCAGAATGCTACCAAGAAAGACCTTTGCTTTCTCTGTGGAAGTAGTGGTCTCCCTGCACAGGTCTGACATGCCCCTTGTTTAATCAGAGTTAGAGATCTCTATTCAGCATAGCTCATGTTCCCTGCTGATTGGAAAGCTCTAGCTCACCAGGGGGCTTTTCGGTCCTCTGCAGAGAGACCACTGCTAATCTTTTTATTAAAAGACTCAAGCAACGTTTAGAGAGACCACTGCTTCCACCTAGAGAGCAGGGGTCCCTCTCTATCATGCTGGCAGAGTACTGGCTCTTCTTCTCTGGGTATGGCTGCTTTCTACAGAAAACTGTAGAATTTAGAACACTATTTGTTTAGATGTAAGTAGAATATATTTATCTGATTTAAACTGGAAGTTCAGCTGGGCTTTAACATGTTTTTTTCTCAATATCATCCTCATCCTAGGCATGAAGGGGCACAACATTTCTCTGAGGACATATTGTATATTCACCAACTAAACTAGAAATTATTATGGAGAAAAAACTAATTGAGAGTTTTAGAAAAGCAAAATTATAGCAAACATTTTGGCAGAATTCAATTAGTCATTTCATGACAAAATCAACGTGGCTGAAATCCCTTCGCTTATGCCTAGAAATGATGGGGCATTCAGTGGTTTATCTAGTTGGTGCACCCAATATAAAGGGCAATGACATGCTGGGTGTGATGACTTGTAGTGTCACACTATATGTAACGCATTGTCATTATACATTGTTAGCTTGTCCTATCTTGCCTTCTACATCTTGTACACGTCTTAATGTCCATCTTTTTTTCTTTCATTATTTTATCTGTCTTCTCTTTGACATCTTTCTAGAAGTTTTACTTTTGCACATATTTTCTTTTATGGTTTTCTATGTTTCTTTTTATCACCAAGGGTTGGCACAGTACAGTGGTGACCCCAGAATAGAATGGAATCTAAATACATACGACACCAAAGATGCCGTACTTGATGCTGTCCGAAACCTGCCTTACAAAGGTGGAAACACACTTACAGGTACATCCTATATTTCTTAAAGCATAGGAATTAAATTGAACCATTAGGGATGGGCACCACACCCCCAATTAGAATTGTATACAAGAAAAGAAAAGCGGGGCTTTAAAAGTGTCCAAACCATACAAGACGTCCATCAAACATACATGGTTTTGTATAAACGTATATTTAATACATAAAGACTTGGTTACAATTAAAATGTAATTGACATGATACAATGTTACATTGAAATCAAGCTACCTCCTTTTGGTGCCCGTACATATGTACATATATATATAATTCATTAATATAACATGGACTCCTTGAGTCCTGATTTCTGTAATAGTTGTATGATCCACTGTGGGCCCCATCTCCGACGCGTTTCGCAGCTGTATGTGCTTCCTCAGGGAGGTTGGAGGTATTCTAGGACATTACATCAAAATAGGTTTAAGTATAATGATCACAGATACCAAATTCTTAATAAGAGTAATAAGAAAATAAAATAACAATACAAAACCCACTTCATGTTCACAAAGATGGCTGGATCTTTGGCCCCACATGCTGTCTCGCAATCACCAAACAGGTGAACAGGTGGGAGGTAACCGGGGATAAACAGGACTGAGAACATGAAAATGAAACAAGAGGTCATAAGTTCCAGATTTACCAAAGAATTTGTTCAGAGGTAGATTTGTGCAAAAATATGCAGAGATATAAACTATCTATGTTAATAGAGGCAGTTGACTGTCCGTAAGTACTGACAGAGGACAACAGGATCCCATTAAGATAACAATAAATCTGACTAAATATAGGGCATAACTAATACTAGCTTCAGGTAAATATACTCAGAGCCTCGAGGAGCACCTCCAAAACGGTTGCTTCCCACCCAAATCAGTTTAATTCCAATAATCTAAATAGCGATCCAAATGTTCATCTTGGTCAGTAGTAGAAACAGGCAGTAAATATAGTTGGAACTAGTTTTTACCTATTGCAGGAAATCCCATCGTCTGTATACAGGCTGAATATTTGCCAAATAATTAAAAAAGAATATGGTTCTAAAACTCATGTAAAGGTTTAGCATGCACTCAGGGCCATCCGGATAATGAGGCAGCCAAAGGCATCTCTTTGGATCACGTGGGGGGTTGGAGGCAGTGGCATGGTGGCAATGTTTGCATAGCTGACTTTTATTATAAGGTATTGCTGGGACTTGTAGTCCCGCATAGCTGGTGGCATTCTGCATTGCTGTATGATGATTATACAGCAATGCAGAATAGCACCAACTATGTAGGACTACAAGTCCCAGCAATACATTATATTTTTAAGTAGGGACACACCAGTGCCAATACTGGGCATTTTCACCAGTACTCATACTCGTGAAAATGCCCTAATACTAAATTCAGATACCGGTGTTCTGTCGAGAACGCCAACATAGTCGAATTTGCCGGCCTCAGCATCTGTGCTTGCGCACAGACCAGTATTATTGAGGAAACAGGGATTTATTTACAAAGTATTTTGTTTAAATTGTTAATTGTGACCGTTAATAATATGCCATCCATCATTTACTGCCATCCATCATATACTGCCATCCATCATTTACTACCATGGGCAGCATATTATTAACGTTCACAATTAACAATTTAAACGAATACTTTGTAAATAAATGCCGGTTTCCTTGTTAATCCAATCTGTGCGTTCTCGACAGAACACTGTCACTAAAATTTTAAACCAGCGGCTTTAACCAGAGGTCCCGCGCTTGTTGGGGACCTCGGCAGCCTTCCTGTTAACTATACGGTGCCATGGGGCCTTCATGATTTCTTGCACTGGGTCCTGAAGGTTCTAGTTACGCCTCTGGTAAGGACCATGCACATCTCTCCTCTCAGCTCTTAGAAACCTGGGATGTTCTGGCTGGTATCCCATTCAGTTCCTGGCAACCAGGATTGATAGCATTAATATCTTACATTTGTATTGCTTCTGAAGGATATGTGTGTTGTATGTTTTCTTTTAAATTATTGCCCATAGAAGTTTTATTGACATGCCACTTGTCTTGTACAATGTAGGTCTGTTTCCTCGCTGACCCTATATTTCTTGTAGGTCTTGCCTTGACATACATTCTGGAAAACAGTTTTAAGACAGAAGCGGGAGCCAGACCGGATCTCCCAAAGATCGGTATCTTGATTACAGATGGAAAATCACAAGATGACGTTATCCCACCTGCAAAAAGCCTGAAGGATGCTGGCATTGAACTTTTTGCTATCGGTTAGCTTTGTTTTTTATTACTATATTGTTCTATCATTATTTATATAATCCAAAAAAAGTCAACAGAAAACACAGTTTGGCAAGTTGATGGATTTTAGGTATCTGGGTGTTACTAAGCGTTACCTTTCCTTCCAGCACATAGATCCAGAACCTAGTTAAAGTGACACTAAACTCAGGAGTTAAATCATAAAAATACATTTAAGTACCTTAACTATTAACAAAAATGTATCTTATTTGTGTATCACTCGGCTCCCAGATAGCAAGGATAACTTGCCACAAACTTGTGGCAGGGTTAAATTGTAATTCTTGTTAACTTGCTGCACACTTTCCTGGCAAGTTGTAGACTTGCAGAACACTTGCAGCACAAGTTCTAGTTGACACTTTTTGAATTTGTAGCAAATTTGCTTGGCAAGTCTACAGCAAGAGTCCTGCAGGTCTTAGCAAGAGCTCTGCATCACCTTTGCATCACTTTTGCAAAGTACGTTGATCTGGAGACTTGCAATGCAGACTTGCTGTAATTGTGCAACAAAATTGTGAAGCTTGGCAAGTCTAGCAATAGTTTAGCAAGTCATTATCAAACTCGAAGCTCATTTGCTTGCTATCTGAGCTGTAGATCCTCAAATCATCTCTGAATTCATTCTGACACTGTCCTTCCTTCTGGAGGGTGACTACTTTTGCTCCGCATGCTCCCTGTGTGTGTTGTAAAGTAGACACTGCTCCAAGCTCACTCCCGTAATGGACTACAATCTCATGCTTAGCTTACTAGATTTAGACAATGAGGTGTGCATAGGGGGGACTACCGCATCCCACTCAGTAATCCATATTATAAAAAAAAAAAAAAATCTGTACTTTTAGGGTACTCCAAGGATCACAAAATGGTATTTGTATAAAATGTAACACATTTTTATTTAAACATATTTAAAACATGTGCTTTTAAAATTATCTCAGTTTAAGAATATTGGAATATTGGATGCAGCTGCATCCAATTTTGAAATAATTTTAAAGGCACATATTTTAAATATGTTTAAATAAAAATTTGTTACATTTTATACAAATACCATTTTGTGATCCTTGGAGTACCCTAAAAGTACAGATTTTGTTGTTCTTTTTTTGTATAATATTAGCTTACTAATTTGTAATGTAGCTTGGAGTGGTGGCTACTTTAAAACACACACAGGTAGCCACCCTCCAGAAGGAAGGACAGTGACAGCACCAATTCAGGGATGATTTGAGGATCTACAGCTGAGTAATACACAATACAACAACATTTTTGTTATAAGTTAAGGTACTTTTATGCATTTCTAAGATTCAAATCCTGAGTTTCATGTCACTTTAAGTACAGTGTGGAGCTACCATCCTCCTCTAACCACCTGGAGAATGGTCTAACAGACTAGGAGATAGTACTGACCCACCAAACCCATCCGCAGTTGCAAGTCAAATAAAATCATTGTACTAACACATCTCACATTACGTAAAAGCTTGGGGTGACATGGACATATGAGCCCCAAGGGAAGGGAGGGCTTCACATTTTATACTGACTAAGGCTTAATCAGAGTCAAATTAGTTTGTAATGCTTGTAAAACAATGAGACCTTGGAGCGTGCTAAATTGCATACTTATTAAAGCAGTGTTTGGAATGACAGTATATGAAAATATCTCATTATGGGAGGATAAGAAACATTGATTGTCAATTAAGATCATTGTATATGTGTCCAGCTGAAGATTTGATCATGTCCCTGCTTTGCTTACTGTACTAGCAGTCTACTAGTAGCATCTACACCAGGGGTAGGCAGCCTTGGCACTCCAGCTCTGCTGAAATACAAATCCTAAGAGACATTGCAAGACTTTGACAGCAGCAGACATGACTCCCAGAGGCAAAGGCATGCCGAGATTTGTAGTTTCACCCCAGCTGGAGTGCCATGGTTGCCTACCCCTTAATCTAACCAGTTAGTCACTACAAAGGCCTGGACTTGAAGAATATTAAAAATAATTGTTAAAATCCCCAATCATTAATGCTAGGAGTGGGACTAGGGTATAGAGAAATTTAGCCAAGAGTTTAAGGACTTCAGGGGAATATGGGGGTGGGAATCAGACACTGGCATTGACACATTCTATTTTGAAAAGTTTACCATGTATGAAAATGTAATGAACAAGCCTGTCAGTCTTAATTTAAACATAATGCCCCTGTGGATCAAGACAGACTCCTCTCTAGCTTTGGACAAGCCAAATGAACAAAACTTCTCTTGAGTAGGTTGGTGTTCTCAACCATAGTATGGCTTTTTTGGAGAAAAGTCAAGGAAGGTGGGAAAGACACAACTGTGTCAAACGTGCATAGAGTAACTCATACCCCTCACATTCCATGAGAAAAGTCTGATTACTTGACTCACCATAGCACCAAGACTTAAAGACCATCTGGATCTTTGGACAAGCCACTCTTGGTAGCCCAGCTGCTCTGGCTGAAGGCCTATATAGCCTGCTACACATGTGAGCATGGTGCTGAATCCTAGCTGCCTAATGGTGGTACTTTGTTTATTTTTTGTGCACTATTTATTCTGTTAGACGAGTTTCAAAAATTAAAAAGAATTCTGTGTAAATGCCACTTTTAAATGGTAGGCCTGTTGGTGACTACCTCACCCATTGGATATTTAAAGCATCACATGTGCTTTCTCGGAGCAGAACAGTGACCCACGGATGGCCCTGCTTTAGCCTCTGGTCCTCCTCTGAGGGGAAGGTAGTTCTTGTAGCATGCACCACCAATGACTTATCTGAAGTACAAATAACCGCACAGGAGTTCAGGCAATCCAAACAATACTTAGCAAGAGGAAACAGATTTGAGAAAATGCTATTTATTCATAGAAGGCCTATAAGTGAATTCTTCAGTCACTGGGTAATTCAAACATTACAAGGCCTTTTCAAAACCTGTTATAAAGAGCTACATGCTAAAAATTCCCATGGAGCATTTCCTAAAGTCTCTTTATCTGCACTTTTCACTCCAGTAAAGATATTCACGATGAAACATGCATAGCATTTTTAATATACCCAAAGCAATAAACAATGTAGATTTTAAGATGTAAAGCAATAAAAGACAACAAAGGCTTAAACTTTGTAAAGTCAGGTTTGAGTTCATTGTCATTAAACGACTCGTGTTATTAGGGGCTTTGAAGAGGCATGCAACACATTTTCTGCCTGGAGCAGTCACTTTGATGTGTGACACCTTTCAAGCACTGAAAAGCAAGTCAATTTTCCAGTGAACACTCTGGTTAAGATGATGATATATATACAAAAGACTAATGATAGTCAAAACACATCTACACACAGTGCTGAAAATCTTTTGTATTTAGTAGCACAGAAATACTGAATAGGATACAAAGCAAGCTTTGTACATTGGATGTAATTCAACAGCATTTAAATACAATGAAATGCACTGCCTGCCCCCTCCAATAAAGCTAAAGGTGGTCCTTTAGCTTTGATTATGGCACACATTTGCTCTGGTATAAGCTTATTTTGATAAGCTTATGCAATGTCACAACATTTATTTCCATCCAGAGTTGTATTCATTTTTCACCAAGATCTTGTAGAGATGATGGGAGAGTCAGACCACTGTGCAAAGTCTTCTCCAGCACATCCCAAAGATTCTCAATGGGGTTAAAGTCCCCATTGTGTCCAATCCACGTGTGAAAATGAAATGGTGTCTCATGCTTCCTGAAGCGCTATTTTACAATTTGACCCTGATGAATCCTGGCATTGTCATCTTGGAATATGCCAGTGCTATCAGGGGAGAAAAAAATCAATTGATGGAAAACCCTGGTCATTCAATATATTCAGGTAGCAGCTGACTTCATTTTCTGGGAACATACTGTTGCTGAACCTAGACCTGACCAACTGAACTAACCCCAGATCATAACACTGCCTAAAATCCAGGTGGTGACTTTTTTGGGGCCAGGTAGTGTAATTGCTTTGGTTAGAGTATGGAAGGGTTAGAACCTCTGTCAACTCTGTCTGTATTAAATAAATATGTAAACTTACCTCTTTATGCACAAAAACTTATATTATCAAGCAGCTAACACTAAAAATATGGATAACACATTCTCAATTTAAATCTCACTCTCAATATCTGTCTGTATTGCTTTGTCTCCACTTCCTGTCTATATGATGGGTGTCAGACAGAACAAGAAGTGAAAGGGAATTTCCCCACTGTCTGTCCATTTTGATGGGTGTCAGACAGAACATGAAGTAAAGGAGAATGTCCTCAATTCCTATCTATTTGATGGGGTTTAGACAGGACAAGAAGTGAAGGAGAATTTCCCAACTTCCTGTCTATTTGATCGGTGTCAGACAGAATAGAAAGTGAAAAAGATTTGTCACACTTCCTGTATAGTTAATGGGCATCAGACAGTACAGAAAGCAAAATCACTTTTCACAATTGCAGCCCTCTCCCTTCCTCGATCTAGAAAAGCTGACTTTTTTTTTTAAATTTCTTAGTAATTATTAACATGCCCCCTGCCTTCACTCTTGCCTAGGTTATTTAAAGCATACTTGTAAATTCAGGTAGCATCATTTACTACATCTCTTTTGAGATCAGCCTGCTATAATTCTCTGCCCCTAAAGCCTCCTGGGATATATCTGTTGCATATCCCAGCTAAGGCCTTCTGTCACGTACCTTAGAGTGAGTCTGAGATGATGAAGGTGGCCTCTCTTGCTACTCAAGTCCAAGTACCCCTGGAGAGTGGAACAGGTGCCCAAGGATGAGCAGTGGCATGGGTGGCGGAAGATAGCATAGTCACCTGGCATGCAGGGATCAGTAGTGCAGTCATCTTCCAGCAGGAAGTAGGTGAAGAACGGAGATCTATCTATAACAGTAAAGTCCAGGTTAAGCCGAGTCAGCAACAATCGGGCAGCGAGGTACCGGATCAGCAGACTGGAGCGTAGTCAGGGACAGGCCGGGTCAGTAACTTGCACGCAGTGCAGTACAGAACAGCAGGCAGGAATGTAGTTGAAAACGAGCCGAGGTCGAGGGTACAGAACAGCATACGGAAGGTCAAGGCAAGCAGGGTCAGTTACAGGAAGTCAGGATGCAGGAAAACAGGAACTTCAGTAGGAGAGAACAGCTGAAGACCTCTCTGCATGGAGGCTACAATGTCATAGCCGTAAATATTCAATTTGGTGCAACAGTTCATATGAGCGCATGCACGTACCCGTGCACATGCTGAAGAACGTGTGCACAGATGTGCGCAGACTTGCGTAGAGGTGCACAGCTGTGCACAATTCTGTGTGCCAAACTGTGCCCATGTGCATGCGCAGAAACGTACGCACAGCTTCAGCCACACAGGCTTGTTCTGGTTTCCTGGCACATAGCAGTGCTGGAGGAGGGCAGACCTAGAGGTACATCACTGGGGGTCGGCTGCAAGGACCAGAAAGAGACCAAACAAGAGAAGATGGTGGCACAAGACCCGGCGTGCATAAGGGTGGGTTACACTGGATTGGCTGGGCATGTGAGTATAACTGTTGAGGATAACCCAGCATAAAAGGTAAGAGGGGATTAAAAAGCAAACTTCACGCGGGAAGGGGGGGGTGGTGAAGTTCCTCTTCTTGCTAAGCTGCCATAGTTTTAGGTGGATTTGTCCTTTATAGACCATCATTTTTGAGTGTTTTCCTTTATTTGCACTCATTACTGACATCTTTCCAATTATTCTTACTATATTTAAGGTGTGAAAAATGCTGACCTTAATGAATTGAAGGAGATTGCCTCGGAACCACACAACGACCATGTTTACAACGTAGCTGACTTCAACATCATGGACTCCATTGTTGGATCGCTCACAAAAACCGTGTGCGAGAGAGTGGAAGATATCGACATTAATATTAAGGGTATGCTAAACTCAAAAGGAAGCTTCATTGTGTCCAGGGCAAAAGCAGGTTCAAAGCCTAATGTATTTATTTAAAGCATACTTGTAAATGTAGGTAGCATAAGTTCCTAAATCTCTTTTGAGATCCGCCTGCTATAATTCTCTGCAGCGCTTAGACTAGGACTGGGAGGGGCAATGCTGTAAACTGGCCATGTTCTGTGCACTCTTAAGTGTAAGTGGTCTCTCTGCAGAGGTCTGACACATCCCCTGCTGAGTCAAACTTATAGCTCTTCAGTCAGCAAAGGTCATGCTAACTGCATATTGGAGAGCTCTCGTCTGACTCAGCAGGGAGCATGCCTGACCTCTGTAATGAGACCAGTGCTTCTACTCAGAGTGCAACAGATCTTCTCCACAGCATGCTGGCAGGGGGCAAGCTTTTTCTACTTAGGCTTTGGTTGTAATTCTTTGCACAGCCTTTTGTTTTGATGCACCATATTTAGCTGATTCGAAATGAAAGTTCAATTGGGCTTACAGACCATAATGTATGCCTTTAAAAAGAACATAGCAACAATGTCATATCATGCAGGTTACATTTGGGAAATATATAGCTCTGAGGTTTCATAACTGGAAAGTGAAGGGTTTCTGTGCGTACATGTCAGAGATCCCCAGGCAACAAGATTCCTTCTTAATATCTTTTTTTTTATTTGATAGTCATAATGTGACATGCCACAGCAACAGGGTTGTCATTATTTTTTTTTTTTATTAAAGATTGGCAAAGAGTACATTTTCTAGCTATAAATCAGTATTATCTAAAGTGGTGACTGATTAGTCAGGGGGTTTCCATTCTACCGCCCCTCAGGATGATAAATATATGGGAAAAAGGCAATTACTGTGTTTGAAGGACACTAATGGTTATTAAATGGCCATTACTACATGGACAAGGCTGCGGTTTAATTACGTGCCCTCTAAATCACTGTTCTTTTCCCACCTCCTATGACCACAGATCTTTGTAACCACATTATTCGTATACCTTAAATAATACACAAGCATGTATCCTGTGAATTCATAACTCCTAATCCACATACTTGTTACAAGTCATTCACTCAGACAATATTGAAACCATTGGCAGTCTCAGCATGAGCATGATAGACAAAAAAATTGAATTTTCAGAAAAAGTGACCATGGTATATAACTCTCGTTACAGGTTTACTTGTAACCTTTAACCCGAGACCAACCCTGAGGGCCTATTCACAGTCCATTTTCCTGCAATGAAACACATACATTTTACTGCTTGAAAATGCATTGCAAGTAAAATATCATTTGTAATGATGTGGCTGGTTCACAGTTAAGTGTGCTTTTAAAGGAAAACTATAAGGGCCCAATGTGCTTGTATAAGTGTGATCCCTAAATGGTAAAATTCCACTATTATCCATTGGCGGTACAATATCTCCACAATTAATATTACCATGGTAATACTAGTGCTGCTACTGCTATTTTAAGCACCAAACAAATTTATCATGGCAGTATATCAACAGTTGCTACAATATGCCACATTCTCAGCGCAGGAAAACCTAACTCAACCTATGATGTCTTTTTTTATAGTCTGAGCCTTTAATGGTCAGGTCAAAGGGCACCTGTTGCGTGATAACTACTAATTTAGCATGTTTTGGTACATCACACCACCTTTGGGGCAGACAGGCTGCTTTCTTTCCCACCAGGAAAGTTAACTGGCTAGCATCTGGAGACCTGGACAGGAGAAGACTGCAAACCTTTGGCCTGGAAGGCAAACACAACCAATCAGCCCTTTAATGGTAGGGACAGATTTCTGAGGGCTAAAGAAATTGCAGCACACCGAATGTACCATGGTGCCCCATTAGTAGGCATTGTAAAACATGGGTGTTCCTAAAGTACATGGTTTATTAAGACACTCCTTCACATCTTTCAGCAGTTTCTTTTGTGGTTCTTGGCATTCGGCCACAGGACCACCAAAGGAAGTTGGTGCTTGTGGTCTTCCCACTGCAAGATGCTGTGGTTGTCAGTCAGAACATGTAGTGGATAGCTCTACAAAAACCAATATGTGCCACTGCAGCTCCTGCTCTGAGTAAGTTGTTAATGGGGTAGTATCTCCACTCAGGACCACCTGCCCAAAATATAATTTATGTATTCAGCTGGTCCTGAGCCTAGGTGTATGACAGTGAACTATCCCTTGGTCACTTGGTCATTATGCTCATCATGTACTGTCAATGGCCCTTTCACTGATGGGCCCCAGAATGTGTTTGTACTGTAAATGCCCTGGTTTCTTTTTTCAAAGAGAGCCTTCCACACAAGAATGTCCTCAAAACCTACCACCTGGGAGATCCCTAGCTAACCTCCTCTGAGGTCTCACTATTTTTTCTAGGCAGTTTTTTAGGAGAAGATATAGCATGTGAGAGATTTCCTGGACACACCAACTCAATACATTTAAGGAATATGTATGACATAAAACAAGAAAACAAATGTGGACAAGAGGTATTTGTAAGAGTACAGTCCAATACAGAATACATTTTGGAATGTTCCATTTACAGGAGAGGTAACTGAAGTGGTTGGATCTCCCTCTGATTTGGTCACATCGGAAGTAACAGCAAGAAGTTTCCGGGTTAGCTGGAGTCATGGACAAGGCAATGTGGAAAAATACAGAGTTGTCTATTACCCTACCAAAGGAGGACAACCAGAAGAGGTAAGAGGAGAGAATTTTATCAGCAGTAATTCATAGTAGCATTATCATCATCAGTGCCCATTCATATAGGTCATATGCCATAGACAGATGATCACAGTACACAACATCTTTTGACAGCCTCAATTTTGTAAAGAAAGTAACAGATGGAACTCGTAACATCTAGTATCACATGAGACTGAATTTTGGTTGCTGTCAGAGAGACTGAGTCTTAAGATTAAGCACTTGATGCATGTTTGTAAAGTGACTTTTACTCTTTGAATATACCTCCCGATCTTCTGCATGTTACTCCATGGACCTGACTTCTTTGTTGGCTAATAACATACCGAGTGTTATTTTGAAGTTAACCTGTAACACTAAACACTAAAGTAATGCATCGCTTAATCTATAAACTTTGTGGAGAAATTAAGTTTCAAAGTTTACAACACAGGCAATACAATGTTACATTTTTGTTCTATAAGAACATAATCTTGACAGCCTGCCAACCTTCTAACATGAACAACCAGCATGTGCTTGAACACAGTGCAGAAGTGACATTAGGGATCTAATAGACCCCTAATTTCTCCTTAAAGAAAACCTGTCACCTGCATTATACTATCACATAGGGAGCTTGTCAGCCCCCTTGTGATAGTAATAAGGTTAAGTTAAAAAAAGTTTATAGAATTTTTTTTCTATAAAAAAAAGGGGTATCCTGCCCCCACAGACATGCCCATATGAACGCAAACTTGCAGCGGATGTGCACACATGAGACAATTACGATTGTGCTACACATACACACTGTAGATACCACCAAGCACATAGGAGTGAGGACAATAATTCTAGGGCCATCATTCACTGTTAATTCTAAAAATGTATGAGCAGTAAATGCCTTAAAAGTGTTGCCTATGGACAGTTTTGGATATTGTAGTTTTTTGCCGTTTCACAGGTGCGTGCAATTTTGATGCTTGACATATTAGGTATCTATTTACTCACTACAACCTGATGAGGTTATATTTTATAGTTTACCAAAAAATTGGGTAATATATTGTGTTTGCCTGTATTAAATTAATTTGAGTGTATGTTTTTCTGAAAATATAGATTTGATTTATGGTTGCGCTATTATTGTGTGATATACAAAAATTGCAACGGCCATCCTTTTATCCTACAGGATCTCTAATTTTAGACAATATATACTGTTTCAGACTTTTAAAGTAATCTTCAGGCCTAACATGCAAAAAATTATCTGGCATTAATAAGTTTAACCCCTTCGTGACTGACGACGTACAGTGTACGTCGCCAGCATCGGAGCTGTCTGTTTAAACTTGTAAAGCCGACTGTCGGCTTTACAACAGAAGCGATTCTGACGACTTACCTGTCGCCTCCTACGGGCCCGGGACCTAATGCGATCTGCACTTCAATAGCTTATTTGTAGCAAAGTTAGAGGCTGCTACCCAATGGTGGGGTTCTTTTTTGCCTTACTGTGGACCAAAGCTGTAAGATTTGTGAGAGATTGGGATCGCGATTATCAATGTTTTTTAACATTACTATGTAAGCTTTGTAGAATGTGTTGTGATCACGCAACTTGATAATTAGTAGGAGGAACAGTCATGATTGGACTTTGTTTCCTTTCTCTACATCCCTTCAGTTACTCCCAATCATATCCATTATGGCCTCATGGTTCAAAGTAGGGATGTCCAGATACCAGTTCAGATACCAGTGCCGATACTTGGCATTTTCACGAGAACTACCAGGGTTGCAGGGGTTGCAGGTGGGACCTAGCTCTGGCTCTCCACCACTGTCCTGAAAAGCATTAGTCTGTATTGTTTTAGAAAAACTTTCACATGATAATAAACAAAAATGTATCAGTACTTGTATCTGTGAGGACTTGGACAAGTATCAGTACTTGTACTTGAAAAAATGATATCAATGCATCCCTTAAATATATTTATTTTAAAAAAATTCATACATTAAAACAAGGGATCCATGAATCCAAGGACCTCCGTATGCTCCTTAAAAATGACAGCTGCCTCCTAACTTTTGAGTTTTTCTCTAGTCTAGTCTTGTAGCTGGAAAAGTATCTGTACATGTACTTGTACCGAGTACGGTACTAGGTATCTGAACATCCCTAGTTCAAAGTCATCCCTTGCATTAGATTCAATAATAATTATTGAGAAAGTCGGATAGAGAGTCATACCGGTAGGTGGCCATGCAAAAATATTTGTGCATTGTGCTTTATTTTGCACAAAAGTTACAATAACATTGCATCCAATAGAGGTATATTTGCAAGATTGCAGGATTACTCTCCATGAAAATCAGAGTGGCAGTTTGGGAGCATCTTGATTGACCGTTTTTTTAAAATTGAGATGGTTTAAGCATTTTACATTTATGCAGTATTTAATTCAGAAGGCTCCCATGGTAGTTTTACCATGAACATCCAAGTGAGAGAAGGCACCAAGGCAGACCCAAAAGTACTGGGGGCATTACATATTGCAGATGGTCTTAAAAGAGTCTGGGGTGGGGCAGAGGAAAGAGTGGACCAATTTGTTCAGCCTATTGTTTCTAGGTGGATTGAAAATGATAATATAATCTGATAACATATAATATAACACAATATTGATTTAATGGAGGATATTTTGTGGTTGAGCTCAGAACCTGTTCTGTGTTGTAGGTGATAGTGGATGGCAGTGTGTCCACTACGGTGCTCAAGAACTTGATGTCTCTCACAGAATACCAGATAGCAATTTTTGCTGTGTACGCCAGATCTACAACGGATGGGCTGCGAGGCAGTGAAACCACCTGTAAGTCATAGAATTTTTTTTTAAATTAACTATATTACCACTGTACTTAAATCAGAACAAAACCCACCCATTTACCGGTAATTGTTTACCAAAGGAAAACTAATGTTAGAAATGTTCAATAAATGCTACTAAATCTTTGATCAAATATTCCAATCTTGCAATCTTGTTTTCTGCACTGTTTTCATTTATAACCTACCTACTTGCACCTGCATAACGTAGGTTATATTCAGCGCATGCCTCCCTTGATACCTGCCACAGTTAGCAGTGCGCTCATGTCAACTCAGGTCCAATCTTGCAAGCCCTCAAATGGCTGGTGTCATAGCTGCTAACATGTTCAGCGTCATGGCAGCTAAAATAGCACCATGTTGGGTGGATAGAAGGATAGGAGTTCGGGCAGCATAGTGAGTCAGTGGTTAGCCTTTCCGCCTTGCAGCACTGTAGCCCTGAGTTTGAATCCTAGACAGGTTACTATCAACATTGAGTTTGCATATTCTCTCTGTGCTTGCATGGCTTTCCTTCCACACTCCAAAGACATGCTTTTTGGATAATTGACTCCTATCTTAACTGACCCCAATTTGTGTGTAAGTATGCATGTGTAATAAGAACCTTAGATTGTAAGATCCTAAGATCCTAAGCACAGGGCCTGATGTGAATGTACACTGTGTAGAGCACTGTGTACATTTTTGGTGCTATGTAAATACCTGTAAACAATAGGAGGGGTTATTTTCACTTTAAAATATCTACATCAGTCAGGTCCAGCCAGTATAAAGTCCCCACTGCATCAAAATCGATTCCTGCCTTTGAACAACCCATTAAAACACTGGCACAGGCAGCATAATGGGTCAGTAATTAGTATATGTATAAAAACAAACATGTTTTTCAGTTTTAGATTGCGGTAACAAGGGCATTGTTGACATCCAGCACTATCAATAAATGGTGTATTGGTTACTTTCTAAGTAGTAATAGTGTATGGAGAAAAAAAAATTTTTTTTTTTTTACTGAAATGAAGTTGTAGGATAAATATTAAGATCTCCATAATTTTGGTTCTTAAGCACCCCCAAAATAACGCACAATACATCTTGCTTTGTGTCATTCCTCAGTGGCATTACCAATGGCCACCGATCTTGAATTGTATGATGTCACTCACCGGAGCATGAGAGCAAAATGGCGCGGAGTTGCAGGAGCTAGTGGTTACATGATCCTGTATGCACCTCTCACTGAAGGATTAGCAGCAGATGAAAAAGAGGTAAGTTACAATCCACAATAATAAAGCTGACCATACAGTAGCTAATTTTCTCAAAATTTGAAGGACACTGCCAACATTTTAGGTACCAGCAAGTCTATAATGTCTATTACTGCATGCATGTGTTCGTTTTTTAAGGGTCAGTCCACCACGAAGTGATATTTAAATTTTTCTTTCATGTTAAAGAGGCAAACCACCTGACATTTTCTCACAGTATATACTTCAAGGGCTATAATGTTAAGATATCTATGCTTGGCTCCCATGTCTGCAGACCGGCCTTGGCCATTATGAGAGGCTTACGCTGTGCTTGTTGGGTTTTTTCATTTATTTTTATATTATAGAGAATGTAAAGAGAAAAGCTTGAACACAACATTTGGGTATAAAGACTCAAATCTCCCAGGAGAACTGTATAAACGTTGGGAATTACTATGGAGGGATCTTACTGTTGGAGCATTCAAGGCAATAAAAGAAGCCAGGGGCTGACTCAACCCTTTAGGCCTTACCTTTAGCTAAAATATCACTTTTAGGCAGACTTACTGCAACTAATTTCTTTTTCTTACATTAAATCATTTAAGTCATTCAACATAAACCTGACATCTGCACACAGTGTAGGCCAGCATGTTGTAGACTGAAACCATATTTCAAAAAATTGCCAGTTTACCAGTTGACCAAAGGTTAATTTTCTCTTACTGTAAAATTCTGCCAAAGGTGGGAAACAGAGGAAACGGTTAAATACTTGTATCTCTGACTCATGCATTAAAGCCATTACAAGTCTCCACATTAATTGTAAGTTAGATTTTAGCAGAATCATTACTGCATTTCTGTTGAATCAATGACGTGGATTCACATTATAAGCTCTCTGTTGCTTCTTTTCTGTGTGAGGGGCATCTATATTTGCCAGAGTTGTCTTGTTACAGTGATAGAAAAAGCTGCTAGATGAGAGCGCAAAACAACTGCCTCCACTTTGTTTAGGGACAGATATTCAACACTGGCAGCTATTGAATGTAATGCATCTCATATTTATTTTCAGATGAAGGTTCCTGGGTCCGTTACTGATGTCGAACTGGATGGCCTGACTCCCAGTACAGAATACACAGTGACAGTCTATGCAATGTTTGGAGAAGAGGCCAGTGATCCACTCACAGGACAGGAAACAACACGTATGTAAAAAGCTGATCACACTGACTTACCAGAACTACAAGCGTTTTCCTCTCACTTTTTTACATATCTATCTAACCCCATAAGGGTGTGGTTTTAATAGATCAAATTCATAATCACCTAAGATTTGCCTTGCATACACCAACAGATTATAGCATGTTCACAATCTTTATTCACTTACTCCAACAGAAAAACAATCTCTTGAGTGAACAATTCTGCAGGCTTTGTTGGTTTTGCATCCCAAAGCATCTGCTAAACCAATGATTGGAGCATGCTTCAAGCTTATAGCAAACCTAGATAAATATTTTCTAATGTCTAGATCCCTTCTATTTCAACATTTTCAAGACCTGATGAAGGGGGACCTTTAGGACCCCTGAAACACATTAAGTGCTTTACAGACACTACCAAAATAAATATATATCACCACTTCAAAATTTTCTGGTGCTCTCTTCCTTGCATATTTTCCTTCATTTCAGGTCATGGAGATGCCACAGAAAGCTAGAGCGAATCCCTTAAAGCAAGGGTATTTCCCCTCTTAGACAGTTGTCCTCATTAGAGGATTTCCCCTTACCTCTCATATTTTGGATTTCCCTTCACTTTTATTCTTGGTTATAATGGCCACCAATACAAATAGATGAGTAAATCCCCCAGTTGGAGACACAGACAGCAATTACAAAATTTACAGGCCCTGGACCCTGCCAGCCAGTTGCTGTCTGTGGCAACTGTCCAGGATGCAAAATTTGTACCATTCACTATTGTATACCCCCAAGCAGCACTGGTAGTGGCAACAAGCTACACACTCCTACTGTGCTACCTCCCTCCTTCATTGACGTAAACACGAATGATCAGCTAAGTCGAATGTTCTTGTTTATTGACCTCGTTTATTGATGATGGAGGTCGAGTGGTCAGATTTTGCATGCATATTCAACAAGTCATCATGTTCCATTTGCTGCCTCCTCTTTGTCCACAGTGCCGTTAAGTCCTCCCAGAGACCTCAGATTTTCAAACATCGAGCACAGCTCGGCCACCGTCTCCTGGGACCACTCGAACAGGAATGTTAATGGTTACCGGATCATGTACGTGAAAACGGGAGAGTCGGACATCAACGATGTGAGTAACTCAAAAATAATATTTGTCTTTGGTCTGTCCTATTGAAGTGAATAATTCCTTCATCTGCAGAACACCAAAACTACATGTAGGCTGCTTCTGAACATTATTTATCTGGGGTGTTAGTTTTCATAAAAATCTTTTTTTAGCATTTTCTCTACTATTTTTTTTACACTTTTATTTTTTTAAGACATTACTGGAAACTTGTCACAAAAGAAATGTGGGCTTTGCTTCTGTTAACCCTGTTGAGTTGACTACTTGCTGCCTAACTATTTTGCTGAACCATTGGCTTCAGTACTTTTAGTATGAATGTTCCAGCCTAATAGTGGGAGTGCCTACGCTAGCTGCTAAAATGCACATTCTTTTACCTGCAGCTGCCATGAGATTTCAAGCACAGTCAGGTGAGCTCAAAGTTCCGAGAAAGGTCAGAACATTTCTGAAGGCCAACTTGAGACCACCTAGAGAAATAATTGTAATCCTTGACATACAGTCAGATTAATTAGTGGCATTTTCAAGCACCTTCAACTAGCTTTCCAATTTGCTACCAACAATATCTGTCAACACGTTCACAACTGTTGGTGTTGGGTTGCGTTGATCCATTAGATCTTCTTTGTAATCAAAAAGGTAGTTGGAATTGGTTGAAAATGCCTAGTATTATATAGTTAGTATAAGACAATTAGGGCGTATGTATGAAAAGCTCAAGATTCAAACTAAATAGAGGATTATTATTGATTGCTTTTGGCAACAAGACGATTTCCCAGCCCGAGAAAAATAAGTCTCTGACTTCTGAGTTAAGCGCCATACTATGTTGGAAACACAAATTAAACTATGGACTGTCCACATGATAACTGTCCACAAGATAAGGAAAGATTTTGAAGTTAAAGTGTATCTAAAACAAAAATGTAATCTAGTGAAACTTATCCATCCTTAGATTTGGTGGCTGCACATTTTTGTCCTTTATTTTCACCTGGGGATCCGGCCAGTAACACAATTGTTGGTCTACTGTGACAACACTCACTTACTGTACTGTATCTGTGGAGGAGCAGTGTTGTCATCCTAGGACAGGAAGTGTGTTGGGACAACAGAACACTTACCCATCTTCTAATCTCCATAACATAACATTGGAGAGGGATTTCTGTCGTTTACAGAGGGGGAAACTGGGCAGGGTTGATAACACTTCATTGGATTTCATTACACATGAGGTGAGCTCTCTACACAGGAGGTTAGGAGCTCACTGGATTTGCACAGGAGTTTAGGAGCTCACTGCACAGGAGGTTAGGAGCTCACTGTATTTTTTGCAGGATCCTTAGGTATTTTTTTGTACTTGCAGTGTTTTTAAAGAGATAGAATACAAGGAAATGTGCAGGTATTCCAGACATGTACTGGATATGTTTCTTTTGTATAACCAACACATACACTTTAAGCAGTAGCTGTTAAAACTACCAACTACCCCTTTGTTTTACTAACTCCTCTGACTATGCTATCGTCCTCTTTCTCTCTGTCCTCCATGGTACTAGCACCTCTTTGAACCCGCTAACCTTACTGGTGTCATCTTGACCTGCATACGAATTTGACTGGTTATCTAAACAAGGTATTGGCTAAGTCTCTTCACCTTGGTTTCACCTGAAGAATGCAATTTAACATGAACAATGTCTTCATCTCACAGGTGGAAGTTGGCCGAATTTCAAACTACAACCTAAAGAAACTGACATCGCTCACAGAGTACACAGTGGCCATTTTCTCTGTTTTTGATGAAGGACAATCTGAGCCCCTCACAGGCACTTTTACGACAAGTAAGTCAGAGTCTCTAATGAGAGTCTGCTTATCATTCCATTACGCCACACTGCATGGGCAATTTTAATCTCAGAAATCCATATACTCTACTGTAAAAAGACCACCATAAACAATAGAGAGCAGCCAAACATGTGGCTATGATCCAACATATCTTAGGAATTTAGGTCAATCACAAGTCACAAATTTTGTTGCTGTTTAAAATATGATGAGCCTATAGAGAGGAGTGGGAAAGGCATATTACAGACACATCCAGCACCAGCTTATCAGGTGGAAAACAAAATTGCTAATTTCTTGCATACAAAAACTTGATTCTGTCAGACGTAACCGTCAACCAGGGAGGACGTCACTGGAGTTCCTCTGTCAATGTTGACAGCATAAAGCTTTTCTACTCAAGCTTCATTAGGCGATGGTTTCACTTCTTTCCTTTGCAGATATTGTTGGGAATTGACCAACTTGGGAGGTTGCTGGCACCACAGAGAATTCTCAAGCAGTGGTATCTGCCACTGCTCCATTAACATTACATTGCCTCTTGGTCCAATATTTTACCCTGCAACTCAATGTTGGTAGGTGATTGTTGTGCTATTATTAGGAAATAGTCTTTTGAGATTGGTTTTGCGGTACAGTTTATAACTGAATAGGAGAAACAGCCTATTAAATGCCACTCGTTGAGCAACTACAGATCTATTTTTAAAGCAAAGGTGTGGCCTCAACATGGCCATACTGTTGCTTCAAGAAAATAAAACACTGCACACGAGGTACAGTGGTGTGCTTTACAAATGTGCCTCCTGTAGGCACTGGAGGAAAGTAATTGAGGATGCGGCTTGGCTCTCCTCTTTTTTCCCCATTCATTTGAACAGCGCTCTGCTTCCATGAGAATCCTGAAGCCAGCGGAGCTCCATTCAAAGGAATGGGGAAAAAAATAAAACGTGAGGAGAGCCGAGTCGCAACCTCCATCTCTTTCCTTCAGTGTGTACAAGCCATTTTGGCTGGTCTCAATCTGATGGAGCATCCATACTAGCTGAATCTCCAATCCCTTCAGTTTTATTATCATTAGGTTTTCGCTATTGGGGAAAAGTAGTTCTTTGATGAAAAGGTAGAGGGAACTAAATGCAGTTAAATACCAAGAACATAGAAAAAAAACATTTAAAAAAATCTCAAAGCTTGACTAATTTTAGGCTTCAGATCATATAAGAATAATGTGTGCAGCTACAGCAAGCCTTAGCACTTTTTCCAAGTTTTCATCAAGCTTTAAACAGCTTTTTTTTAAAGCCTTCAACTTTCAACACCAGTTGGGGATGCTCACAGTGTATGTTTAGCCAAAAACAGTTTTTATAGTTTTGGATAGGGTTGGAAAAGGTTAAATCCTCTGTCTGTGTATGATTGGGAACATTTCTCTTCACTTGCTGTCCCAAAAACACAACAAAAGGTTAGAGGAGATCTCCCAAAGTGAGGAAAATAAACCTCTTAGACAGTTGTCTCTATAACAGGTGCCCCCATTGGAAGATCTAAGGACAACCCTAACATTATGGATTTCCCCTCACTTTCTTTGTCAGTAACAATGCTCACCAGTACAAAAAGAGGGGTGAATCTCCCTGATGGGGAAACAGACAGTATGAAGAACTAGACAGAAGGTCTACAATTTCCTTGTTGACCTTACCATCATGATCTATGTTTAACATTCCCCAATCTGGAGCTCTAGGTAGGGCTTCTCTTCTATAGTACCTTGTTATTTATATTTATTACTGTACAGCTACATGTACTTGTTCTTGATACATTGCCACTGTATTAATTGTATCACTCACACCTGTGATATCGATCACCATGTACATGGCCTCGGAAGATGATGGCTCTATAGGAATCAGTAATACTAAGAGCTGCCAATTTATTATCCTCTCTTGACAGAGCCGGTGCCATCTCCTCGTGATTTGAAAGTCAGGGATATCTCAGCACGCAGTTTTGTGGCTTACTGGACACATTTTGCACCAGATATAACTATGTACAGACTCCAATGGACACCCCGGAGAGGTGGTGCTACGCAAGAGGTAAACTAGCTATTATTTTATTGTTTTCAGGGAGGTTAAACACTGCAGCCATATCAGGTAAATAGGACTACGTTTGTAGACTGATACTACAATATGTTTGTTTTGTCTAGGATGAAATTAAAGGGGATATCAGCTCCTATCTTATTGATGGCTTGACACATAGCACAGAGTATGAAGTCTCCTTGACAGCTATGTTTGCTGATGAATCTGAAAGTGATGCTCTGTCAGCTTTGGCTACTACACGTAAGAATCTATCTATCTATCTATCTATCTATCTATCTATCTCTCTATCTATCCAGGACCGTCTCTATAATGAGGCAGCCTGAGGTGGTCACCTCAGGCAGCATATCTGGTGTGTGTGAGGAGGGGTGGCTGCATCCCAGGTTGCTAAGACGCTCTGTCCGGCTCACTGACATCATCGGTTGCCAGGAAGCTTGTGTCCCTAATTCATTAAATATTTTTTGACCCAAGAATCTAGTTAAGAAGAATAAAAATGGACATGTCCCTGACCCCCCAATTAATCCTTTGATATAAAAAGTTCCCCTAACACTCACCTATGCTTTAGACCCCTGGTGATTAAGAATAACTGGTTTTGTTTATATATAAAATCACACCATCTTACTTTTTTCAATGCTGCCCATCCCTTTTTTACTTTTTATGTTTTTCCTTGGATCTTCTATAACAGAACTTGCTGAAAGAAAGATTTAATCTGGCGCAAGTCATTTTAATTGGGCTGTAGGGAGCAGCAATATGGAAACATTGATATGTAAAGGGGCTATAATAGTAGTGATGTTTAGCAAGCTCACGCAATATGTCTCCAGTCTATCAGTGTCCTCTAAAGCATGTTCTGATTCTCATAAGACTATTATGGCATGATTCTAGCCTCTGACCATCTCCTGTAATATGATCATAGTCTCTGACCATCTTTTGTAGCATGATCCTAGTCTCTGACCATCTCTTGTAGCATGATCCTAGTCTCTGACCATCTCTTGTAGCATGATCCTAGTCTCTGGCCATCTCTTCTAGCATACCCATAGTCTTTGACCATGCTGCATGTCTGTAGTGTCTGGTCATCACCTGTTGCCTGTCTGTAGTCTCCGATAACTTTCTGTAGAATTACATTCACTGAAGAGAATGTGTGGCCATTTAGTGATGTCAGTGGGTGCACTTGAGACCCCGTATCTCAAGTAAGTTGACCACCATTTTCTTAGCCTATTGCCCAAGGAATTTCTTTCTAATTTTTAGCCACATATTTGTCTCCAAACCTCCCCTCCAGAATGTCTGAGAGTTTTAACAGTTTGGTGGGAAACGTATCTAACTTCTGACATATCGATTTTGGGAATACTTTCTGGAGCCTAGCATAAAGACCTCAAAAGTAGCCCAGCCATTAATATTCAATCTTTGTTCAAGAACAGTGACTGGGACATAATGTAAAGTAGCTTGTGATCAGGCAGAGATTACTGGCTTTTTATTGCCAAATATTTGTAGTATGAGGTCTGCTGTGTATAATTGACACGTTGCAATTATTGGACGGGTGTGTTATGTAAATTAAACACATAAGCTGTCCAGAAAGAATGTTAAAAAGTTAGAATTTGAATACATCATTTAGATATTGGGGGGTGGGGGGGGGGGGTGGAGAGGCAGGCTTATGGTATATTTAATAAACTACTGAAATAGCAAATTACATTTTTTTATTTCTTATGATTCCAGTGACTCGGACCACTCAAGCCCCAACTACAGCCAGACCTACAACAGCAGGTAACACAAGCAGTTTTCTGAAGTTGACTTTGTCATACTATAACACCATGAACATTTGACTGTTGTGCTGAATAGTAAATTTGGCAAGGCAGGTCTTTTGTTCCCGTTGGCCCTTTTGTAAACATTTTGCCAAAATTAAAGATAATTATGCTGCTGAGGTTTATGGATGGGGACTTTCAGTCCATTGTTATAGTAGCCATGCAGGAAGGAACAGCGAGAGGGCGCAGGCAAGGTAAGTATAAGAGATTCGGGGGGCCCTCTGCAGAGACCCTGTTGCTTTGTCGAAGGTTTCCCTTTCTTGCTCTAGTTAATTTACAAACATCAGCAAAGAACTAGCTAAGAACTAAGAAGCTAAGCTAAGAACTAGCTCTTGGAGTTATGGGAAAAGATCCGAAAGTAAGCAGCCATGATGGTCCAGCAGCCTTAGTCTGCTAGGTAGTCATGTGACTTTATAGAGCCAACTTCTTGTTTGCATTACAGGGAATTACAGGAAGTGCAGAGCTAGCAGTATTTTTTCACTTGCCAAAGAGTCATGTGACTGCACAGAATGAGCATCAAGTTTCCTTACTAACAGAAATTTATTTGTAAAGAATGTTAGGAATATCAGACATTATGGTTCAGAGGTTCTATAGTCCTGCAGGATGATAATGCCACTATATAGGTCCAGCTTCCAACCTATGGGATCCAAAGGGTCTCTGTCTTGAAAAAAGAACTGTAGTCAACGCTGTCAAATGGCTTATATTTGCCACAGCACCTATTTAAAGTTGTACATACAAGTACTATAGTGTGCTTAATTATTGTCATTTGCTGATTAATTGATATCATGGCCTAAATGGAGAATGGGAGGAGATGCTCTCATCCTTCCAGTCCCAGACTTCATATATAAAACCAAGAGATGCCTGGTAAGGTGATCATCTCCTTGAACAGCAGATAAAAGTACCATATTGAATCCTCATCATGTTTTTCTAATGTGTCATTGCAGCTATCCGTTTTGGAATCAGAAACCTTTTAATAGATGATGAAACCACATCTAGTCTTCACGTATCATGGTTAATGACTGATGCTAACATTCGCCAGTATATCGTATCCTACATCACTACTTATGGAGATCGGGAAGAAGTGGTAAGCTTGGAAATAAAAAGATAACATTCAAAGTGTATAGCATCCATTGCTACATCACAATCTTTCAGCAATGCAAATAAATTGCATTTAACCTCATATATAAAAGTGACCAACCTGGATCTACAGCAGACGGTGACAAATGAATAGTGACCTGACATCCTTCATGACAACACCAGTGTACAGCACGACTACAGCACCCTCAGCTGTCATAGCAGAGCTAGTACCAATTAAATGTTTTTTGAGTGTGTGGCTTCTGTTTTCCGCTAAGTCCTGCCCCCTTTGCACTGCGCTACGCACACCAACTAACAGCTTTTTGCACCAGTCTCCCTTCCAAACAGCAAGTAGATGTGCATTGACCTTCCCAGAGCACATCCCATGACCAAATGACCCGTAGAAATTAAAGGAGACCTGTATTTAGAGAATCTGAATCTAAATTCTCCTTCAGAAAGTACTATGTATCTGCCTGTTGTGCTATTCTGGTGGCTACTATACATGCTGAGGCATTTTTCTAGAACTAGTATGCAGATCATGAGTTCAGACTTCACTGGGACTAGTGATGGTATGCCTCGTATGCTGTATATTTGTTTATGGAAAAGATTGTTTAACAAATGTACACTTTTGCATTGGAAATGATTGTATATGTGGCCTTTGAAGGAGGGAAAATGATCATAGGGACATTGCTTTATCCTGGGGTAGAAAAGCATATCAGTTAGTTGGAAAAATTCCAGCCCAGCCCATGGATATCTGTCAGGGTTATGTTCACTTATGTCTGGGAGTAGGGTATTTGGGGATGAGGACCCTGACATAGGGGCCATGTCCATATGCCTTATCCTTGCCCTAATCCTTTTTTTCTGCTTCTTTCCATTGTATCTTCCACCAGAAAGTTGTATCAGGTCGAGAAAACGATGTTGTGCTGCAACCTCTGCTGTCTGACACTGAGTACAAAGTCACTGTGACTCCCGTGTACTTCAGTGGAGAAGGGAACCCTGTGTCCAGCTCTGGGAGAACATGTATGTATGGGTTGTGTCTGCTGGTCAAAGTGCAAAGACAATAGACTTTATTCCATTTCATGCAAAGAACAGATCTAACACTTTATGAACTGCAGACAAGTAAAACACACAGTGTCATTTTTGTTTTCACTGACCTAAGTTGTAAAACTGAAATGTGATTGGTTACTGCAGCTTAATATGCATTGCTCTTTGCACTTTTTTGCCTAGGCCAAAATGAGCTCCACGCAGGCTTTTCCTACCAAGTAAAAACACATTTCTGCTGCCAGTAATGATGAAACTGTGTAAATAGACTCAAAGCGACTCACATACACTGCTTGACAAAAAAAAAGTCACACTGCTTGACAAAAAAAAAGTCACCACCTAGATTCAGTGTAATGGGCTGGGGTTGCTTCAGTTGGTCAGGTCTAGGTTCAGCAATGTTATAGCCCCCAAAAAAGGTCAGCCTCCTACATAAATATGCTGAATGACCAGCTTTTTCCATGAATGGATTTTTTCTTCCATGATGGCACAGACATATTCCAAGATGACTATGCCAGGATTCATCGGGGTCAGATTGTGAAAGAGTGGTTCAGGGAGCATGAGACACCATTTTCACTAGGGATACACCGATACCGTTTTTCCGGTGTGGAGTACGAGTTCTGATATTTTTTTTTCCGGTACTCGCCGATACCGAATACCGATACCATAGTCCCATTAAGGAAGCCTGGTGATGAAGGAGCATGAAGCTGGCTTCCTGGCCAATCAGGAAGCCGGGCAGTGTGTAATGACTCGCCGCCCGGCTTCCTGATACCGGAAGTTTCAGTATCGGGATAGGCATCGGGAGCATTTGGGCGAGTACGAATACTCACCTGAAATCAGCGCTGATACCGATGCTAGTATCGGTATCGGTGCATTCCTAATTTTCACACATGGATTGCCCACCACAGAGTCCAGACCTTAAGCCCATTGAGAATCTTTGGGATGTGTTGGAGAAGACTTTGTGCAGTGTTCTGCCTCTCCCATCATCACTACAAGATCTTGGTGAAAAATGAATGCAACTCTGGATGGAAATAAGTGTTGTGACATTGTATAAGCTTATAGAAACGATGCCATGGCGATCGTGTGCCATAATCAAAGCTAAAGGCGGTCCAACAAAATATAAGAGTGTGTGACTTTTTTGGGGGCCAAGCAGTGTACAAGAAACAGGCTGGTGAATGGCAGTGTAGATTCTAACCTTTCATGTTTGCAGTACATCATGGGAATTGGAAAAGAGAATATAGTTGGCTACTTAGGACAACAAAAAGCTACACTTTCTTCTTCTTCCTCCTCCTCCAACTCCCCTTCTTTATTTGCTATTCGGACATCTTTTTATTATTGTCAATCATTATTATCATCAGGGTCAGATGTATAATTAGGTACAGTAGGCATGTGCTTGTAGGTAGCAGAGGAAAAGTGGCAGCTTATTGGTGACATTTTTTATTATTATTATTATTTTTTTATAACAACTCTTTATTTATTTTCGACTTCAATGCTATACATAAATAAAAAAATAAAAAAATAAATAAATACAACCAGCCATCAACAATACATCACCAAGTATAAACATACTAATACACAAAAAAAGATTCTAACATTCATAATGTATTAGTATTATTATTAATAGTTCTTTAATCTAAACCTATTTACGCATTATTACAATATTCTAATCCATCACAGTACCAGGAAAACAAAGAAATGTTTTGTGAAAAGGTAGTGTTTTCCTAGGGTGCCAAAAGTTGCATGTCTGCAGGCCCCAGTAAGATAAATCTCACCCTGATGGTAATAAATTATTGGTAACATTAAGGTTGTGTTCCAGCTTTTGTGATCTGTATTCTCATTATATTCCCGCAGTGCCGCTCTCTGCTCCAAGGAACCTGCGGGTTTCTGACGAATGGTATAACAAACTGAGGATAACATGGGACCCTCCTCCTTCACCAACCATGGGCTACAGAATAGTGTACAAGCCTACCAGCGGTGAGACTCATTCATTCTGTAAACATATATACAAATATATTAAGGTTCTGACACAGGCTGGAAGAAAAGAACAGCGTGCTTCTGAGCTGACCACAACTAATCAGGTTTTATCATCTGAAGGCTGCATTCGCACGTTACGATGCATTAAAAAAAACAACTGATGACCCACTGATCCCAGCAGCATTGTGTTTCAATTTCTGGACCCAAAAATAATGCAATTTGCATTATGTTGCATGGTTTTGTGACATTTATGTGTTGTAACACATAACAGTGTATTTATAAACATTTTGCAGAGCTATTCATCCTGCAAAATTGCATGTACATTTGTTCTGCATGAATAGAGGCAAAAACAAATGTTATTAACATCATTTCTTTCTAGGTCAAATATCATATCAGTAAAATACCACATTATGGCCAAAAGGTGGAGCTGAGGTGCATAGGAAACACGTATTTATTTAGGAGAGCAGTGAGCCATATCGTAATGACATCACAAAATCTCACTCAATATCTCATGAGAGCAGCAATCAGAGGCAACATTGCCTTAGATCTCGTACTGAAGATATACAGCTAATAAGCTGTAGGCCAACCTTTCTAAACCAGGGTTCCATGGTCCAGATGCTGCTAGAGGTTCATTAGGCAGTGATGGGTTGAACCCCCAAATGAAGATGCTTGCGTAGTTCTGATACCAGTGCCACCTTGCAGAGTCAGCAGCATGGGACTAGTGGAGCCTCTCCTCTCTTTCCTCAGGTAAGTAACCACTGACACTAATGATCATATTAGCTGCCTCTGAAGGAGGCATTCTTTGCACTGACCACCAATCAAATGAGCTTTTTCCCCAATGTCCCCAATGCATGGGGGGGCTACATTGACCACCAGTGTAATGGGTATTCTTCACAATAATCACCAACGTAACAGGGCATTGTTTCCACTGACCACTCAGTCAGAAGTTCCCTCAGACCTCAGATTAGACATGTGCGATTCGTTTCGTTCCGAATCAAAATTCGGACGAAATTTCGGAAATTCGGAGATTCAGATGTATCCAAATTCCGAATTACAGCTAAAACGAATGCAAACATCTGAATTCCCGATTTCCGAAATTTCGTCCGAATTTCGTTAGCGGTAGTCCAGTCGAAATGTCATTCTTGGATGAAATTTCGTTGCAGCAACATGACATTAGGGAAAAAGGGGGCTTATTTGCGGGCAAGGGGGCTTATTTGCATCAGGGTACCCCTTTAAATAAGGGGGCACCCAGATGCCGCCCCCCCCCCCTTGTGAATGATTAAGGGGTACTTCATTCACTAAAGGGTTAAATCAAATAGTAAAAAGTCCAGACTTTTGATAAAATCCTTTAATTGAAAAAAAAAACCAGTCAATTTTTGACTATTCCTTTAATTAATAAAAAAAATGGCTCCATCGATGTAATCCAGCGTCAATCAGGACCCTCGCCGACCCGCCGCAATAAAAAAAGTCCCGCCGCAAGACCCCAGCGAAAACTCGCCGCAAAAATGACATTCAGTCCGAAAATAAACAGATGAGCGGATCGAGACGTGATGTCACAGCTTGCTCCGCCCATTTGACACTCTCAGCCGTCAAATACTACATAGCATGCTTTTTTTTGCTGGTGCACATGTCTACCTCAGATCATCCCTATTATTGCAGCTTCAGACCTCATATCATCCTTTATTCCTACACCTTCAGACCTCAGATTAGCCCCAATTCCTGCACCTTCAGACCTTAGATCACCCCAAATTCCTGCACCTTCACACCACATATCAGTAACAGGAGGAAGGATCATATTAGCTGTCTTTAAAGTGAGTCATTATTTCCATTGACCACCAATGTATGGAGCATTTTCTTCACTGTCCCCCAGTGTATGGGGAAACGACAATGACCACCAGTGTAATGGGGCATACTTTCCACTGACCACCAGCATAAGGTGACAGCCTCTAACTGACCACTAATCTGGTGTGGTTAACGTACCACAATTTGTATGCAAAATCATTTTAGCAGGGGTTCCCGGAGACCTGAATATTATTTTATTATTTCAAGAGTTCCTCCATGGGAAAAGGTTAACAAGATTTGTCAGGAAATTAGGCACAAATAACATTTCTAGATGTTCCTTATAAAACAAATCCATAATTTTCTGAGTTCAGTTTTACTTTATTAACGGTTTTATTCTCTTTTGGATGCTACAACCCTAAATAGCTCTACACCTCAGTCAGAAGTTCCACTTGTCCGTGTCCAAAGAACTTTTAGAGACACATGTACCACATGCTGAGAAATCCAAAGAGCACATTGCAGGGAAATATGACATGTATTCTTCCTCGGAGATGTCTAGTGTACACTGACACCATGATAGGGGACCTTATTTAATCTCTTTCTAATGTTTTTCTGGACAGCAAGGCAACATTTTTCCTTGTTAGCAATGTCGCTGGAAAGCATAAGTTCCTGAGAATTCATATTTTAACACTGTAAGAAAGTAAAAGTTTGACTTGGGACCTTGGCACAGAAACATTTTTGTGTTTAAAGTTTTGCTATCCAGCATTACTCCAATACATTCCGTACCCACCAGCCAACTATTAGATGCTGGATTCCGAATCCAAGTACTCCTTGACAGTCAAAGGGATTGTGTTTTTCTGTCCAAGAACCTTTTCCAGTTCTTGGACAGAAAAACATAATCCCTTTAACTGCCTGCCCAAGAACCAGCAGTAAAATCATTTATATGTGCTTAAAAGGCCGGTTATATTTCAGTTACTGGAGAAGTCTGAGGAGGCGTCTGAGGAGGCTAAAAATCACCTGCTTGCCTCTAGTAAGCTAGGTTGTGCAGAGAAAAATGATAACATGTGTGCTCAGTTAGCAGACAGTATTGGGTACAACATGGGTCAGCAACCTTTTTTTTCACATTGTCATTTTATAAGCATTAGAATGCTGGCTTGTCAGTGAACAATAGTATCCTGTAGATCTCAGATTAGCCCCAATTCCTGCACCTTCAGACATCAGATCATCCCTAATTCCTGCACCTTTAGAGCTTAAATCATCCCTAATTCATGCACCTTCAGACCACAGATTAGCCCCAATTCCTTGACCTTTAGACCTCAGATCATTCCTAATTCAAACCTCAGATTAGTCTCAATTTCAGCACCTTCAGACCTCAGATTAGTCCCAATTCCTGAACCCTCAGACCTTAGATCAACCCCAATTCCTGCACCTTCAGACCTTAGATCAACCCCAATTCCTGCATCTTCAAACCTCAGATAGTCCCAATTCCTGTACCTTCAGACCTCAGTCCCAATTGTTGCACCTTCAGACCTTAGATCATCCCCAATTCCTGAACCTTCAGATCTTAGATTAGTCCTAATTCCTGCACCTTCAGAACTCAAATTAGTCCCAATTCCTGCACCTTCAGAACTCAGATTAGCCCAAATTCCTACACATTCAGACCTCAGATAGTCCCAGTTGCTGCAACTGCACACCTGAGATCAGCCCATGTCCGTTCATTTTTTTTCTACATCTTGTGATGGAGGAAAAAACTGAACTGTACGGACCTATGTTCCATGGGAAGTCAGATATAAGTGGACATGTGTCCATTTACATCCGATTACCTCCGATCTGTCATAATCAAGTCTGCCAAAATGGAACTCCATTTTTTTCTCCAGACCTAGACAGAGTCCTTGGTAATCGTATGTAAATGGACGTATGTTTACTCTATGCTCGTAAATTTACATTGGGCTTCCGATCAGATCTGCCTGAAAAAGTGACAGGCGGATCTGAACTGTTTGGCCTTGTGAAAAAGGAAAATTGACAAATTGCTATAAAAAAAATGAATGAAGAATGGAAGAATTTCTTTTAGTGAAATGTTACAGTAACTGAATGTTTATTGATGGAGAATACATTGTAATTTCCTTTAACTCCTTTTTTTGATATTTGTATAACTCCCCATAGGCTGCTTTGGAATGTAGACCTCCCCAAAATACACACAAACCTGCCATAAACTTCAATGGTCATGTTTTGATTTTCTCGATCGTTTCATGTTTATTGAGTTACTTAACCTTTCAATAAACATTAAGATCCATTAGACGGCTGTGTAAGTTGGATCTGGTCTGTTAAGGAACACTTGACTATGGCAGCGAGCTACATTCCCCCGTTTTACAATGTATAAATATTTGCAGAGTGGCATTATCCAAGAGTAACACATGGGCACTCCAGGAATATATGTGGCACGGGTGAATAGTATGTATTATATGTGTTATGGCTTTGCCATAGGCAGGTTCTAAAATTAGCAATGGAACGTTAGTTTTCCAAAAGCAGCAAAGCCACTGCCATGGGCTGGTGCTCATTCTGTCTTTGGGCTTCGTTTCAGGTTCAGGTCCGGCTCTGGAGACTTTTGTGGGTGATGATGTGAACACCATATTGATTCTCAATCTTCTCAGTGGGACGGAATACAACCTGAAGGTTCTGGCGTCATATTCCACCGGATCCAGCGATGCCTTGACTGGAGTTGGAAAAACATGTAAGTAGCTGCCGTCCTTCATCTTTGTACAGAGAGCTTTGTGATCCAGGGGCACGGCTCAGGTCTTTAAAAGGGATCTGACCCCAAAGGGTATTTAGTAGAGGTGCACCGAAATGAAAATTTCAAAACTGAAACAAAACCTAAATAAAAAAAACATGCCAGGCTGAAACCGGAAAGCAAAAATGTTTTTTATTTTAACTTTTTTAAAACATATTTTATATTTTATTTTTATTTATTTTTTATAAACTTTTTAATTTTTTTATATTTATTTATTTATTTTTTATGAAATATTTT